CAACTTCAATCTTTTCTCCATTTATCATGATGCTATTTTTTGGTCCACTGGTGAGGAATTTTGTTTTCTTTCCATTGAGGTGCAACTCATACTGAAGGCTGTGGTCTTTGATCTTCTTCAGTAGGTATCTTAAGTTCTGCAAGGTTGGCAGTTCAGATTCACTAGCCGCTCCTTGGAAATCCTATATAGGGTTGCTATGTGTTGGAACCAACTCAACAGCATTTAACAGCCTTAAGGTCTGTGGGTTAACCCCGCTAGTTACTCCTCAGAAACCCGATACAGGGTTGCTATGAGTTGTCTGACTTAACAGCACTTAACAGTAACATCGAGGACTGAGGACTCACAGAAGTTCAGCTTTAGAAGGGAAACAGAAGATTTCAACAGCCTCCTACCCCATTCACTGGTCACATTCTTTCTATACTCTCTTTCAAGTGCTGGCCCAGCCTCTGCTTCAGCACCTCCATGAGAGAGAAGTTATGGCTGTGGAAGCCCCCTCGCTAGCTCTGAGAACGCTCTCAGTTTGAAAGGGAATCTGTTTCTTAGGTAGTCTGACACACCCCACCCCAACAAGGCCCAAAGACAGTAAGTGTTCTGGTGTCTCTTCCACAAGATAGCCTTTCAGGTAACTGAAGACACTGGCTTCTTCCTGTAAGTCATCATTCATTCATTCAGTGGATATTTATTGAAGGCCCACTCTGTGGGTACTGTGCAAGGTGCAAGGGGAAAGAGTTGAAAATATCCATTCCTTGCCGTCTAGAAAGGAGCCCTGGTGGCCCTGTGGGTTAGGTACTGGGCTACTAATCACAAGGTCAGCGGTTCAAATCCACCAGAAAGACTGACATATAGATTGACAGTCTTGGAAACCCTATGTCAGAAACGCTGTATTGGGGCGCTAAGAGTCATTGTCGTCTCCATGGTTTACCTTCTAGAGGCTCGTGGTTTAGTGTCTGAGGTCAGGCACTGAGGTCTGAGATGTGAAGGAAGAAGGCTTTGGAGGAGAGAGCACTTGGAACTCCCCTCGGGAGGGATGAGAGATGGAGAGGGCAGAGGGAACCATAGGATTGGCAGGCAGTCCTAGCAGATGCTCTGCTGATCCTAAGCTGAGCTCTGGGGCTGGGACAACTCTTCTGAGTGGTCCCACCTTGAAGCAAGGGGACAAGGCCTTAATTTGTCCTTATTGTCCAGTCATTGGATAGGGATTGCTTTCATCCTTACCTGACCTGGGATGGCGCATGATTATGGGCCACCTTTCTTCAATGGCAGAAAGCTCTGAAAAGGGATTCTGCTGGGGACCATCATCTACCAACAGTCCTCTCTGCTGGGGGAATGAGTGTCCATCCTGAAGGGGAAGTCTTGAGTGGTGAAGCACGGACACACCTCACATTAGAATAATAACAAGCCCAGTTTTTGAATAGCTGCATAAAAATACTGTGGGATAGGCAACCCAAACGAGGACAAGCTTCTTGGAGGAGGAAACCTCTCTACAAGGGGGCTTCAAAAAGCATGTGGAAAATTGCAGTATCTTTTAATTCTGTTGTTATGAATCAGAATCCACTGGATGGCAGTGGGTTTGGTTTGGTTTTGGCAGTCTGTAGGGAGAGTCTGGTGTGATGCTGTGGGTTAATGCGCCAGACTGCAAAGCCGTTTAAACTGCAAGGTCAGCGGTTCAAGCTCACCAGCTTCTCCTTGGAAACCCTATACAGGGTTGCTATGGTTCAGAACCAACTCGATAGCACTTCACAACACAACACCAACAGGACTGTCTCAGGAAGCCAAGGGCGTGGCAGAAGAACAGTGTGGAGAGTTCCTGTGAGAAGTTTAGGCACTAGAATCCACAGCTCTTACTGATTGCTGGGCATGGGAGGGAGGAGCAAGGAGACACCCAGGTTTCTGGGATTGGCTTCTTGGTGAATGGCACACTGTTTCCCAGGGTGGAGAACCTAGGAGGAAGAGATTGAGTTCAGTTTGAGGATGTGGCAGTAGCCATTTCCAGCCTTGAAACTTTTAAAGCCATTCTCAAACATTCACCTTGCTCTAAGATTTGCCTCTTTGGAATCAGAACTGATTGCATAGATATGCCTCGCCTCTTCTCTTACCCATAACTACCTGTGGTTTGTTTTCACAGAGATCTCACCACACCTGGGCCAGGCAGCCAGCGGCCTGGGAATATTGGAGTGATCACTAATGGGCAAAGTGTTTGGGTTCCTGAGGACAACCTGCCAGTCAGTTCTGGCTTCATCTCAGCCATTCCCAGAAGAACCCATTGAGGAGAAGCAAGAAGATAAAAACATGAAGAAGATGATGAAGCGGCAAGGAGACAGCCTTAGTGCCTGGGACAGCCCTCATGGTCGCTACATCCTCCCCATTTGTCTCATTTTGACTGCTTTGCTTACTCACTATATTCTGAAGCACTACAGCTTTGTGGTTAACTGTTCTGCATCTTTTGTGCCTCCATTTCTGAATCTGTAAAATGGGGATCACGCCTAGTACCCAGCACGTGAGGTTATTGAGATGATTGAAAGAATCTGTGGAAACTACCTTAAGCCATATAGTGGGGTGGCGGTGGTTATGTGCTGTGGAGTCGGTTCTGACTCAGAGCGACCCTGTATAGGGTTTCTGAGGCTGTAAATCTTTACAGGAGCAGAAAGCCTCATCTTTCTCTTGCAGAACAGCTGGTAGTTTCGAACTGCTGACCTTGCGGTTCGCAACCTGATTCATAACCACTACGCTACCAGAGCTCCTTAAGCCATATAGTAGCACCTAGCATTAGTGCCTGTCATTATTATTTTATCCGTGTCTTAGCCTGGTGTGCCTGTCAACTCAGAAGCAGAAGTCTGTTCTCACCAACTCTCCTAGGGGTTTCTCATTTGTATTGCCCTTCTCACATATCCCATTGGGATTAGAGCTACTCCTTCCCTCTTAAATTGCTCACCTTGTGGTCTTCTGAGTACAAGGCTGGGAAGGAAGAGGTTGGTTGATGCTGCTGCTGCTGTGGAGTTCATTCTGATTCACAGCACCCTGTGGGACATTGCTGAACTGCTGCGTACACTTTCCCAGATTGTACATCTTTATGGAAGCAGTCAGCCTCGTCTTTCTCCCATGAAGCTGCTGGTGGGTTCAAACTACTGACCTTTGGGTTAGTAGTTCAACATTTACCCCACTGTACCACCAGGGCTCCTTGTTTAGTTGGTAGTGGATCACATTAGAAAAAGATGACATGATAGTTTACTCACGCCTTTGTTAGGCCCTCCTGGCTTCTAGCCTCGAGGGGTGAGTTTAGATTAGCTAGATCTTCCCCAAAGCTTTCCTCCACTGATGTGAAGTCTCTGGGTGGTACACATGGTTAACTGCTCAGTAGCTAATCAAAAGGTTGGCAGTTCAAATTCACCCAGAGGCACCTTGGAAGAAAGGGCTGGTGATCTACTTCCAAAAAGTCACAGAAAACCTTATGGAGCGCAGGTCTACTCTGATACATGGTGGAGTTGCCATAAGATGAAATTGATTGACGGCAACTAGGTATGTGGTGGGACTGGGTAGGGGCAGTAGATTAGCCTGAAGAATTGATGTCATCTCTGAGCTCCAGTGATGGGCTCTTATACTCATTCCTGAAGGGAAGGTTTGAATGGGATGAACCCATAATTACCACATGCATCCTTTCTGTAATGTTTCTTTTCCTTTGCTTCATAGAAACAATTGCTTGTGCCATTCATTTTGCAATGAATTACATTAAAAAAAAAATAATATACTTTCTTTTGACCTCTCTCTTTTCTTAATAGATTAGTAAGACTTTTACTGTTAAAACTTTTCAAAGGTTCCTGCCTTATCTCTCCTCTCTAATTTGTTTAAAGCTCCTGAGGGAATTATTTGTCCTCCTACAGTACTTTATAGAATTTTACGTGTTTAATAGATGTCAAATAAATGCCTTTTTTTGTGTGTGCTAAATCTCTCAGCTAGACCTTGTCCTCATTACTGTTTTCTCTTCTTTCTATAGGCCTGGTTGGTTTACATAACCTTGGACAGACCTGCTGCCTTAACTCCCTGATTCAGGTGTTCAAAATGAACGTGGACTTCACCAAGATACTGAAGAGGTAAGACTTATTTTTCAGGCTAATAAACATGCATATTCACATTTACAAATATTAAATTGTTTACAGTGACTTGGACTCTTAGAGGTCATCTTTCAAAATTTCCTAAGATACACATTAGAATCACCTACGAAGGTTTTTTTTTTTAAAAAATCTCATTTCATCAGGACCCTCTCAGATATTTGGTTTCAATTGCTCTGGGTGGGACACAGGCAATGGTAGTTTTTAAAAGGCCCCCAGGTGATTTTTGGCAGCGTTGTGGTTACGAATAGGGCTGCTAACCTCAAGGTTGGCAGTTTGAAACTACCAGCGGTTCTGCAGAAGAAAGATGAGGCATTCAGCTCCCGTAAAGATTTACAGCCTCAGAAACCCTGTGCAGGGTCACTATGAGTCAGAGCCAACGCCATGGTACTTAACAACAACAACAACCAGGTGATTTTAAAGTGTAGCCAGGATTGACAGCCAGTGTCTTTGTTAAAGTTGCTGGGTGATACAAAGAGTTAACATGCTGGGCTGCTAACCAAAGCGTTAGAGGTTCTAGTCCACTCAGAAGCACCTTGGAAGAAAACTATGACTATAACTGGATCTGGTAAAAGGGATTTGGACTAGGTCATTGTAGAGAGAGCAGAAGTCAGTGGGTAGACTGTTTCTCTATTGATTTTTCTCACACCAGCTACACACACATACGCACACACACATACACACACAAACACTTCCCTGGGAAATTGAGAATACCATATAATTAATTTATTCTGGCCCAGATACACTTACATCCCTTCACACTGTCTTTCTAGGTTAGTTTTTGCTTTTCATTTTGGAGTGCTTCAGGCTGGACGATTTGCTGTTTGGCCTCGGTATGGTCTTATCACTCAAGTGTTATTGTTGGGCAGGGTGTGGAGAGTTGAGGCAGCAGTTGTGTTGTGCCCCCTTTCCATTGGGTAGTGCAGTTCACCAACATAGTGGTTTTCAATCTTGACTATACACTGGAATCATCTGGGGAATGTAAACATTGGTGCCACTCCCCGAAATTCTGATTTCCTTTCTCTGGGGAGTGAGCTGGACATGGCGATTTTTAAGTTTCCCAAGGGTGTAAGGGGGTTCCTAGCTTTTTTTTTTTTTTTTTTTTAATGTTTTATTGTTAATTATGTGATAGTTTAAATGGGAGAACATTAGTTTTACATTCATTCTATTGTATATCGTTTCATTGCCATGGTTACAATCCCCTCCATGCATCATCAACCAACCAAAGGGTATACCCAGCAAGCCTGCCCCCTGGTCCTCAGCACACAGCCCCTCTCCCTCTCTGGGTCTAGAGTCCCCAGCCACTCCATCTCTCTACATCATCGTCTCTGCCTCCATCTCTGGTGTAACTGCTTCTCTGTGTAGGGTCCCAAACTCCACTCTTTTCCCATGAATAGTCCCAGGGACCTCTGCTCCTGGACTGCAAATTCAGTCACTCCCCTCCTTGTGCTACAAAATGTCTACCTTTACATTTCCAACCCTCACAGTCAGTCCTGATAGCAAATATTCACTATTGTACCACACGAGTGCTATCCACATCTCCTTTCATCAGTCCCATGCAGACAGATCGGATACTACTTAGTGGAGATTCTACCTTCCTCCATGCCCTCTGGATCTAGGATCCCACTTCAAAGCTTGTAAGCTAGTCACTTCTTGCCTTTGTAGCAACCCCCCACCCCGCCCCCATTTTGGGTAGCCAATGTCCAAGTTGCCTATCCCTGTTTACTCTGTGTTTGGAGGGGGTGGGAATGATCCTCGATGTAAAGATTTGTTCCCTCTTTTGAGCTACTGCATCCATAGGTGTAGGTCAACTTCATCAAATTGTATCAGATTCGACTCTTTTTCCTCTTCTTTCTTCTTCTGGTTGAGCTCTGATCATCCAGTCATTGAAGCCAGGTCAAGTGGGTATTATCTGCAAGTGTGGGTGTTCTTATGCATATGCTCTCTCTTCTTATCAGCTGGACGCTTCACTCTCCACTCTAGTCCTCTGTGGCTATGTCACTGACACTGACTTGGCCCAGGAGTCCCCAGGTCTTGCCATACTGCTGGCCAACCAGGTCTCCACCTGGGTTCACAGGAGTCTATTGAATGTGGCAGGACTTAGCTCGCAGCTTCATTGCTGTTTTTCCCTCACTTCCCCAACGTGGTCACCAGTCAGACTGCATGCCTGCTTGTATATTCCCCTTACGTCTTAGTCTTGGAAGGGGGCCAGCTGTTTTTATATTTATTCTTTATTGTGGCAAAACTGTATCTAACAAGACATTTGGCATTCCAACATTTTTTACATATACACTGTCATGAATTCCATTCATCATGTGTGACCATCGTAACTATCCATTTCTGAATTTTCCCATCACCTTAAACAACAGAAGCTCAGTGCCTAAACAATTGCTCCTTTTTTTCTTCTTTTTATTATGAATTGGGTGAAGGTTTACAGAGCAGATCAGTTTTCCGTTCAACAATACATTCACCATTTGTTTCATCTCACTGATTACAGTCCCCACAGTAGAGTATCACTCATCCCACTTCATCCCTGTGTTTTCTGTTTCTATTCATCCTTCTTTCCTAACTCTTCTGAGCTCTGTCCTTGGGTAGATACGACCCCTTTGATCTCAAATGGTTGATTATTGTAAGGTGTGCATAGTACCCCAGTGTTATTGTTCCCCATTTAGACCTGCCTATTGTTTGGACTGTGTGGTGCTGTGGGTTATCGCACTGGCCTGCAAAGTCGTGTGGTGGTTCAAGCTCATCAGTCGCTCCTCGGAAACTTAAACAGGGTCGTTATGGGTCAGAACCAACTTGACAGCACTTAACAACAACAAATTGTTGGGCTGAAAATTAATCCATGGGTGTAAGTTCACTTCCAGACTTGAAGGATGACTAAGGGGTTACGCTTCAAGGTTCCACAAGTCTCTATCTGACCACAAGTGTGGTCTTTTTTGTTTTTGTTTTTAATGATTTTGAATGTTGTTTCCCATGTTGCTTCCACTGTATCCATCAGCCCATTGGACTCATTGTTTTCCATTCCTCTTGGATTTTCATCACTCTTCTTTCTTCCGGACAGGGAGGGACAAAAAGTTGCATCTTGGATAGCTACTCACAAGCTTTTAAGATCCCAGTCACTACTCACCAAAGTAGGAAGGAGAACATTGTCTTTGTGGACTGTTTTGTCAATGAGTTCTTTTTTTCACCCTCACCCCCACCCCTGGTAACCACTAATAGCTGGCTGTTTTTATTTGTCAGGATAACTGTGCCCAGGGAAGTTGAAGAGCAGAAGAGAAGTGTCCCCTTTCAGTTTCTCTTGCTGCTGGAGAAGATGCAGGACACTCGGAGGAAAGCAGTGCGGCCCCTGGAGCTTGCCTCCTGCCTCCTGAATTACAACGTGCCTTGTAAGACTGGCTGGTACTCTAGAGGGACTGGGGGCTTGAGAGAGAGTGAAGAGGAGGGGAACCGATGGGCAGTTAGGTAGTCTCTGGATCTTTGTGTTGGTGGGCATTTGTGTAGAGCTGAGTAAAATTTGATGAGCCTCACATTTTTTTGAGATGCAGAATGGGTATAGTTTATGCCCACACTACTTCCGTACTCTCATCCTTTCCCTGCCTCTCAGTAAAGCAAGTAAGCAGGAGAATTTTCTGAAAGGTGGAATAGAAAGGAATAGAAAGGAAAAACTGTGCAAATGCATAGCTTCATTTTAAACATAAATCATAAACCAAAACCAAATGCCACTGAGTCCATTCCAACTCACAGCAACCCTTTACAGGTTTTCCAAGGCTGTAAATCTTTACGGGAGCACACAGCCTTTTCTTTCCCCCATCGAGTGACTGGGTTTGAGCCACCGACTTTATGGTTAGCAGTCTAGTGCTTATCCTACAGCACCACCAGCTTTGAGAGGTAACTTACATACTATAGGATGATTTTGGACTCCTGGTGTGGTGCTGTAGGATAAGCACTGGACTTAGAAACTCAAAGTCGGTGGTTCAAACCTACTAGCTGCTATGGGTTAGAATAGATTTTGATGGCATGCAACAAACAACAATAAATATTATCATCTTATAGAATTCATTTAATAAGTACAAGTCATAGGGTTTTAGTATGCACACAAAGTTTGTGTGCCCCTCATTACAAGCTAATTCTATAATATTTTTATCAACCCTGAAAGAAACCCTGTACCTATCAGCAGTCATTTCTCGCTCTTTCTTACTTTCTTTTAAATCCTGCCATTTTAGCTGTTACATTTGTGTTAGTTTTGTGTTGTGGTGGGAATTAGGGGTGCATCTTTATCCTTTTGCATGTGGACATCCATGTGTTTTAGCACAATTTTCTGAAAAGATGATTCTTTCCCCATTGAGTTGTTTTGGCACCCTTGTGGAACATCCATTGATGTGTTTACTTCTGGACCCTCAATTTTATCCCACTGATTTTTATGTCCACCTTTATGCCAGCACCAGACTCTCTTAATAAATGGAGCTTTTGAAGGAGAAGTGTGAGCCCTCTAACTTTGTTTTCCTTTTCAGGATTGCTTTGTCTATTCTGGGCCTTTTGCATTTCCACCCAAAGTTTAGAATAGTGTCACTTTTTGCAAGAAGAAAGTCAGCTGAGCTTTTGACAGGGAGTGCATCGGACTCTTGGATCATTTTGGGGAATATGCTAATTTAACAATATTATATCTTCTGGATTATTAATATGGATGCCTTTCCAGTTAGTTAGGTTTTCGATCCCTTTCAAAGAGAGTTTGTGGCTGTCATTGTGCTAGTGCTTCTTGTGTTGAATTTATTCCTAAATATTTCATTCTTTTTGAAGCCATTGCAAATGGAATTGTTTCTGTAGTTCATTGCTAGTATATGAAAGTATATATCTAATGTAGAGTTCACGACTCAGTGTGCCCTTCTTAACCAGCATCAGCGGACACTGAGATGGCTCTTTCCTTTCTTGTTCACCCAAGCATCTTTTGTGGAAAGCCTGGGTCAGACCTCAGCATTGGGGAACTTCTAAATTTTTAGAGGCAGGTGAATAAATAAATACATAAGGGGCAGGTAAATGAGTGGCCAGTGATGGCTACAATTAGAGTATTATAGAGGAAATCCACTGCCGGCTATTGGTTCCCTGTAGCTTGCTCCTCCAGTGGAGGCTAGCAGGGTCAGTGGCACATGAAGGGAGAAAGAGCATGTGCTGTGCAGTTAGAAGATAAGAGTACGTGGGACTGGAGCTCAAGTTGCAAGAGGAGTCTTCAAGAACAAGCTTGTTTTTCATTTGGTGACCTCTTGACATGTAGTGGGAATGTAGCCTTTACAAGAGGTAGAGAAGACACGAACGACAATGTACACCTGGGTAGCCAGGACTCAGGAGTGTCGGAAGAGTGTCTGGAGGCTTCACTAATCTCATTGGATTTTTCTTTTTGTCCAGTGTTTGTCCAGCACGATGCTGCTCAACTCTATCTTACAGTCTGGAACCTGATTAAGGACCAAATCACTGAAGTGGACTTGGTAAGAACCGAGGACAAGAGAACTCAGAAGTTTACAATACTGCTCATTTAGCTCATGCAGCTCGCTTTTATGCAGTGTGGAAGGAGGATCAACAGAGGGAATCCATATAAAATGCTTGTTACAGTTGCATGGTGTCATTATTTTGCACCTTAATGGCAGGGCAAGGATCCTAGTGATTCCCATTTCAGGTGACTCCAGTTTCCAGGAACTGGCTGAACCTAGTTTGTGGCTGTGGTAGCTAACTTACCTCTCCCCTTTCTCCTGCTTGCAGGCAGAGAGACTACAAACTCTGTTTACAATCCAGATGAAGGAGTCCTTGATTTGCCTTGACTGTTCCATGGAGAGTAGTAGAAACAGTAAAATGCTGACCCTCCCCCTTTCTCTTTTCGACATAGACTCAAAGCCCCTGACTACACTGGTAAGAATTTTCTCTTGGTGAACTTACATTCCTGTGAAACCCAATATGGCATTGTCCCATTGCTTCTTTTAACAAGACCCCTCAGTGGGACAAACAGTTTGTGCTCAACTATGAACCTAAAGGTTGGCAGTTCAAATTCAACCAGTAGTACCATGGAAGAAAGGCCTGGCTGTCTGCTTCAGTAAAGATTATAGTCCACAAGACTTTATGGAGCAATTTTATTCTGAAATACATGGGTTACATGAGTCAGAATCAGCTTAATAGTAATAGTTTTTTTAATTTTTTTGGCTTAAGATTAAAAAACAAACAACCCATTGTTTTATTTATATCGCTCAGGCCCAGTTTTCCTTTAATTTGGCATATATATATATATATATATACATAGAGAGAGAGAGAGAGAGAGAGAGAGAGAGAGTGAGTCCTGGAGTGCACTGTGGGCTAATGCGTCAGACTGCAAAGTCGTTTGAACTGCAGGGTCTGTGTTTCAAGCTTACCAGTCACTCCTTGGGAAACCCTATACAGGGTCGCTATGGGTCGGAATCGACTCGACGGCACTTAACAACAACAACAACATATATATGGAGTCCTGGTGTGTCGCTTAGGATAAGCACTGGGCTGTTAACCAGAAGGTTGGTGGTTCAAACCCACAAACTGCTCCTTGGAAACCCCATACAGGGTCAGTATGAGTCAGAACCGACTCGATGGCACTTAACAACAATTAATAAGTATTTTTTGAGGTCCTGTCAAGTGTATCACACTGGGTGTATTGTTAAGGGGGAAGTGGAGAGAATTACAAGAAAAGCTTCCGTCCCCATTCACATGGCATGGGTGGAAGGCTTGTACTCTAGGAGGGAAATGCTAACTCTATCTTTTCCTTTTTCTCTTCGGCCAGGAAGATGCCCTGAACTGCTTCTTCCAGCCCAAGGAGTTGGCAGACAAAAGCAAGTACTTCTGTGAGAACTGTGAGAAGAAGACCTGTGGGAAACAGGTACTCTGCCCTTCAACCAGATGCTCCCTGGGTCTGGAATGGTCCCTGATGGATTTCTGGGCCCTCGCAGTCTGGCCTGGGGGTTCTATAGCATTTTCACAGTCCTGAGGCACCTCATAGTGTTGAGGGAGAGAAGAGGGTCAGGCTGGAATTTGGGATCCTTGGCCCTCTGAGTCTCAGAACTGTAGACATTGACCGTCAGATGTATCACTGAAGTGGACAGGACAGCTTGTTTTTATCGACGATGAGAAGAGAAGTTCTGAGAGCAATACAAGTAAAGCAGTAGCTATCCAGTCACTACTGACTGGTGCTTGTGTGTCAGAGTTGAACTGTGCTCCATAGGATTTTGGTGTTTTGGAAGTCGATCACCAGATCTTTCTGGGTGGGCTTTAACCTCCCACCTTTTGGTTAGCAGCCAGGCCCATTTGAAACATCTAGGGGCAGTTATTTTTTCCCATTAGGGTTAAGTTACCTTCCTCACATTCTCAGATTCCTGGGCTCTTCATGCCTTCAGTGGGAGACCGTACTGGCGTAATGGTTAATCAGAACTTTGTTCTTGAAAGAGCACTAGAATCAGAGAATGGTGCCCTTGCTCCCCTCCCTTTGGGAAGAAGAGCACACCACCCAGTCCTAGAATTTCTCTGAACCTACCTACTTCAAGTGCCTTTGTACTTCATCTCCACAATGATTTTGCGTTCTAGGTCTGGAAGCTGACCTATTTGCCCCAGACCATGACATTTCACCTCATGCGGTTCTCCATCAGAAACTCGCGGATAGAAAAGATCTGCCACTCACTGTGTTTTCCCCAGAGCTTGGATTTTAATCAGGTCCTTTCCAGTGAGCAAGACTTCTGCAATGCTGAGGACCAGGTGATATGCTCCCAACCTCCTTTGCATCTTCCACCTCATTAGATACCATATCCTTTCAATTCTGCCTGCTCTGGAGCTCACTGCTCATCAGAGACATACCTTTGGGTGTCTTTGTGCCCTTCTCTCAGTTCAGAAATAAATGCCCCTGATGGTCATACGTAAATTGTTGTGGTTAAGTGCCAGAGTCAGTTCTGACTCACAGTGATCTTGTATAGGGTTTCTGAGGAGCAATTGATGGATTTGAACTGCTTAGATTGTGGTTAGATGTCCAGTGCTTATCCTATAGTGCCACACTAAAACTCGTCCATTTCTTAGTGTGATATAGAAGCATATTTATAAAGTCAACAAACCTAATTTTTAAACAATATTTTAATGCCAGGAATCTGTTCTGTGTTAACTATGATGGGTTGTTATCACAAATTACTGCCACCAGCATTTGCTGTTTGCAGTTGCTTTTATTTTCTCTTAAAAGTCAAAAGATTTTCTTATTTATAAGAATTGCATTTGCACTCATGCCTGAAAGCATTAAAGAAGGTACCCATAATTCAGTACCTTCCTTTTGAGATACTAAAAAATACACAGGCAAACACAACATTTGGGTTCTAAGTAGAGTACCAATCAAATTTTTTTGTTGTTGTTAAAATAGCCTGTGTTCACTGTGGGGATAGTACAAGAGGGCTTCAAAAAGTATGTGGAAACATGAAATTAAAAGATAATGGATTTTTCCCATGAACTTTTTGAAGCTTTCTTGTAGGAAAGTAGCCAGTTCATTTGTTGTTGTTGTTGAGTACCATGGAGTCGGTTCCGACTCACAGTAACTCAGTACAGGGTTTCCGAGGCTGTAAATCTTTATGAGAGCAGAAAGCCTCATCTTCTGCGGAATGGCTGGTAGTTTCGAACTGCTGACCATGAGGTTAGCAACCTGATTTGTAACCTCTACACTACCAGAGCTCCTTAGCCAGTTCACTGGACCAAGTTAAATTAAAAATAAAGTTTAATACAATTGTCCTGAGCTCTAACTTAATAGGTGGTGCTGAAATCAAAATTGCTCAAGTATCTTTTCTCCATAGATTTGAAATGTTGCATTTAGAAAATGCTGTATTCCCAAATGTTTTTGAGACTGTTTTTGGAATGTCTGTTCTAATTCATTGGTTTGAGTCCAAGTACATACCTCTTGAGTTCCAAATCCATGTGTATATCCACCTCCTTACTGAATGTCACCGCCCAGATTCCACACAGTCCCCAAATGAATACATTATCTTCAGTCCCAAACTATGCCTCCTGCCAGCTCTGTCCCATACTTAATTTTGTAGTATCAGCATCTTCCTAATTTCTAAACCAGAAATCTCAGATTCATTCTTCTCCTAATTTAACTTCTATGTCCAACCAGTTAGAAAGCACCCTTAGTAAATGCAATCTAATTTAGCACAATTCTGCCTCTCTTTTCCACTTCCTTTTAAACTTTCTCACTATTGTTGCTGTTAGCTGCCATCGAGTCTATCATAGGCGTTAAGAACCTGGGTTTTGAAGCCAGATCGATCTGGGTTTAAATCCTACCTCTTTTGCTTATGATGGCGCAATGGCTAAGCACTCAGCTGTTATGCAAAATGATGGTGGCAGTTTGAACCCATCAGCAACTTGTAGGAGGAAGGTGTGGCAGTCAGCTTCCTTAAGATTAGAGCCTGAGGAACCCTATGGAACAGTTCTACTCTGTCCTGTAGTGTCACCAAGAGTCAGAATAGACTCGACAGCAGTGGATTCGCTTTGGTTGGCTTTGCTTATAAGCTCTGACCTTGGGCAAATAACCTTACCTTCCCGAGCTCAGATTCTGCCTCTATGAAACAGGATTTATAATAGCACCTACCTGGTGTGGTGATACCTCTGGGATAAAGCTCTGGACCCCAAGGTTGGTTTGAACAATAAGATCTTGTTCAAACTCACCAGCCGCTCCTTGGAAACCCTATGCAGGGTGGCTATGAGTCGGAACCGACTCGATGGCACTTAACAACAATAACAAACCTCGGTTCTTGTATTAAATGAAAGAGTTTGTGTAAAGGATTTAGTTAAATGCATAGTAAATGTTGACAGGTAATAATTACTATGTTTATAATTATTATCATTATAATATGTACTACGTTTCCAACTGTGGTTTTTCAGGCAATCCCTATTTCTCTTGTATCATGTGGTGCCAAAATTTATCTCCTTGGCTTCTGGCTTCTCTAATCACATTCCTTCACTTAAAGACCCACTTCTGTGGCTCCTCAACACTGGGGATAAAGTTCCCATTTCTCTTTGTAGTTTCCTCTGGTGACTCCTCGCCACCTTCCCACTCCATCTTCCGCTTTGTTATACTGCTGAGTTCTTTGCAAATTCTCATCCAGGCTCACATTCAACATACCCCTTCCTCACAACCTGTGTGCCAAGTTTGTTTATCCGTCAAGATCAACTCCAGCATGTTTTCTCTGGGGGAGCCTTCCTCAGTTTCTGTCTTTTCTCAGCTGGTTGCTCCTTTTACTGTCTTTGTTTCTTTTTCCTTTTTAGGGGGGTGGGATTGAGTCTTCCCAAATTAATTTGTAAGTGCATCTGGATATACATCTACCCTTTAATTAGCTGTGAGGTAACTGAAGTACCAGTGCCTGCCATATAGTTACACACTCAGTAAACGTGTGTTGAAATAATGTCACCTTATTCTAGGCTACGGTGAGAGAAAAGGAGGAGTGATGGGTGAGTCATTTTGTGACTTGTTTCTTTGCAGCTGGAAAGACAGTATGAGCTCTTTGCTGTGATTGCCCACGTGGGAATGGCTGATTTTGGTCATTACTGTGCCTATATCCGGAATTCTAAGGATGGCCAATGGTTCTGCTTCAATGACTCCAATGTTTGTTCGGTGAGAAACATCCATCCAAATTTGCCTCTTGCCCCACATTGGCGACCTCTAAGGAGCTCTGGTAGCGTAGTAGTTACGAATCGGGCTGAGAGCCACAAGGTCAGCAGTTCGAAACTACCAGGTGTTCCGTGGGAGAAAGATGAGGCTTTCTGCTCCCATAAAGATTTACAGCTTCGGAAGCCCTGTACAGGGTCGCTATGGGTCGGAACCGACTCCACGGCACATAACAACAACAGTGAATTCTGGGAGACCCTGGATGGTACAATGGTTAACATGCTTGGCTGCTAATCCAAAAGTTGGGGGTTTAAGTTCATCCAGAGGAACAATCACCCAGTGGCCAGAGTTGACTCGATGGCAGCTGGCTCATAGCTTAATACATTCTGAGCCCAGGACTGGAGGGGTCCTTGAGGTGAGGTCAAGACACACTCTGGTCTTGTTCTCTGGGTGTAGGGCTTATTCTGGGACTTAATGGCCTTTTCTGCTTGAACCTCCACCTGGTTCCTTGTGCTGTCAGAGCCTACTTACCTCAAGGTCTAGGTGTTTGGTGCCATAGGCTCAGTGACCCTCATGCTCTGGAAAGTGAGAGGGGTCAGCAGTATGGAAGTTAGAACTCTAGGCTTAATACAACTAAGTTTAAACAGAGGAACAAAGGTAATAGAAGAGACTTCATATATGCATGGTATTTCATCACTAGATGTTTCTGGGTTGTGAGTGTCCCTAGAATGAGTTTGTCTGAAGTAATGAGGGAAGGCAAGTTGTTACCTGGCTGCTTGACTTCATCTGTGTACTTTCAGGTGTCCTGGGAGGACATCCAGTGTACGTATGGGAATCATCGCTGTCGCTGGTAAGAGAAGTGTTTGGATTGGGGAAGCCTGCTGAGCTTATTAGCAACAGCGTTGCCACTTCTTGTTGTTAGGTGCTGTCAAATTGGCTCCAACACATAGTGACACTGTGTACAACAGAACAAAACACTGCCTGGTCCTGGGCTATCCTCACAATTGTTATATTTGAGTACAGTGTTGTAGCCACTGTGTTCATCCATCTCATTAAGGGTCTCCCTCTTTTTAGCTGACCCTTTATTTTACCAAGCAGGATGTCCTTTTCTAGGAATTGGTCTCTCTTCAAAACATGTCCAAAGTATGTGACACAAAGTTTCAACATCCTGGCTGTATGTCTTCCCAAACAGATTCATTTATTTGTCTAGCAGGCCATGGTACTTTCAGTATTCTTGGCCAATACCATATTTCAAAATCATCAGTTCTTCTCCCTATCTTCCTTATTCATTGTCCAAATTTCACATGCCTATGACGTGACTGAAAATACCCTGGGTTGTTCGAAACTCCCATGGGTTCCGCTATTATTATACGTTGATGACTTTCCTTTGTCTCATCTCTCAACACTGCTTCACTCCACCAAGCTTTTCTCACAGTTTAGATTGTAGCACAAGTTGTTGTTGTTGTTGTTAAGTGCTGTCGCACAAGTAGCTCCCCAAATATCACTTCCTCCATTCTCTCTCTGTAACCTGGCACATGCATTTCCTGGCCTGAACTGCATTATCTTGGTGTGGTACTGCAGGATAATGTACTGGACTACAAGATCAGTCTGAACCATAACGTTGGTGGTCCAAACCCACCCGCCATTCCTTGGAAACCCTATACAGGGTTGCTATGAGTCAGAACTGACTTGATGGCACCTAACAACACAAACAACAGCAACTTATCATCCAGGCCAACACCTATTTAGGCTTCGATACCTCTGCTTATGGCCTTTTTCTACTCTGTAAGGACTTCCTGTATGGGGTTCACTGCATTTTGAGCATACCTCCTTTTCAGCAAGGATCCCACTGTATAATAATCGTTTGCTTACAAAACTTTCATTTACATTAGACCACGAGCTCTTTGAGGGACAAACCAAACCTAACCACACCCATTGCCATCTAGTGGATTCCAACTCACAAAGACCCAGGAGGGCAGAATAGAACCGCCCCTGCAGGGTCTCTACAGCTGTAATCTGTATAGAAGCAGACGGCCACATCTTTCCAACAACTTACCTTGTGAGCACTTTAACCACTGCGCCACCAGTGCTCCTTTTGTGGGACAAGGATCTCCTTTTTCATCTTTTTTATTTTTTTTTATTTTTGTAGTCCGATCTTGTCTAGTAGCTACCTGAAACCTGTTCAGTATCATCGTATGTCACAAGCCTTCACTGACAAATGGGCTGTGGCTGCTCACAAGTGCACTTAATGGGAATCAAAGCTGGATCTCCCTCCTGGAAAACAGAAATTCTACTATGAAATCACCATTGTCCACTTCCCCACTGTAGCTATTAATTTTGTACCTTTGCCTGGTACAATGAGTCCAGTTTTAGTAAGGACTTAATAATTACAATAATAATAATAATAAATAGTGTGGTACTGTGGGCTAATGCATCAGACTGCAAAGCCGTTTGAACTGCAAGGTCCTTGGTTCAAGCTCAACAGTTGCTCCTTGGAAACCCTATACAGGGTCACTATGGGTCGGAATCAACTCGACGGCACTTAACAACAACATAGCTACAGCATTGTTTTACTATAAATGCTTCATTTCTGCTACTGCTGATATATAGTTTTCTTTTTAGGAGAGAAACTGCCTATCTTCTGGTTTATATGAAGACGAAGCCCTAATGGATGTGCTCTAAAACCCCAGAGACAAACTGTCATCTTCCCTTTCTTTCTCTGGATCTGCGAACTTTTCTAAGAAATCTTGCAATGAGGAGAAGTACAGAATTTAAATTGTATCATTGAACTTTATTTATAATTGAGGGTGATTGCCGACATATTAAACAAAGAAATGGTATGGGTTCTGGTCAGTTGGAATGGATACTCCTACCAGTGGACCTGGATCACCTGTCTGGAGCAGGGTCTGGGGTGCTTCTTACTGTGCAAGGTATTAACATTTCAATTGGGAGATTGGAGGAGTCTAGGTACTTCCAGTTGAGGACAGACCAGGGCACCAGTGGGAGTGGGATGGATTCAGATAGCAAGGGACAATGGTAGGGGAGTATGTCCAAGTCTAGTATGTCAATATTTTACATCCTGGTGTGTACTGTCTGAATATCAGGCCTGTTTCCAATGATGTATTTTTAGAATCTGTGTTAATTTCTTAAAACTTAATAGTTGTGTTATTGATATTCATTCATGCAACAAGTATTTATTGATCACCCACTCTTCATAGACACAATATTGAATAAAGTGGCTTTCTTCAAAAGACACTTTCAATTTAATTGGGTGTTATTGTTACATGCTGTTGACTCTGTTCCAACTCATAGCGGCCTTATATAGGGTTTCCAAGGAGTGGCTGGTGGGTTGAACCATGAACCATGTGATTAGCAGTCCAGTGATTATACTACAACAGTACAGGGTTTGTCTTATCAGAGTCCAAAGGAATTTAAAGAAAGAACACTCACTTTTATTGGAAGTGCAATCACTTTATTGGGGTGGGGCATGGGAGAAGCCTTTGGTCTTGAAAGAGGGTTAGGGTGGAGGGCAATCCATTTAGGGGGAAGAGCAAATGCAAAGGCTTAGCTGAAAGAAAGGTAAGGTTCAGAAATCTTCCATTGGTATAGGGAAGCCAGTGGTGAGAGATAAAGATGGTGGAGCTCAAATGTAGAAAATCTTGAACTAGGCTCAGAAGTTTGGATCTAATTTGATAGGCAATGAAGAACCATTGAAGAGGCTCAAAAAGAGGAACACTGAACTAATCTCTTGGGGGCTGGCAATAGGGATGGCAGACATTTCCAGTTAAAAGAGCCATTATGCAGGAAGAACAGATGTGGGGGGTGAGAGAAGAGGGGTCCAAGGAGACTCCAGAAAGAATCCAGATGTTAAGCACAGTAGGTGCTACCTTATTTTACAAAGGAAGGGATTGAGACATTCAGACAGTTAATGAATTACTCATAATTTCACACTTGGCAAGTTGCAGAGCAGAAACTTCCAACACAAAGTACAAGTAATTTCTCTATCGCTTTATCCTCATTGGCTTAAAAAAATGTGCCATGCAAAAATATATTCTCATTGTAAAACATTCAAACAATATAGAAACAGAGAATTCCCTTCCTTAGAGCTAGTAAACAACTGTATACTTTTTAGGTCTACTTTATGCATTTGAGTTAATACAGTCATATATTTAGGTATAAATAATTGTAACACATAAATTATATTGTACAAATGATTCTTCTCTTTGTTCTTTTTCATGTAGTATCTTAGAAATTCCTCCCAAGTCTATACATATAGGCAAACAATATTTTTTAAAATCATTGCACCTAATTCCATAGATACTATAATGTATCCATTCCCATGTTGGTAAAAATGTAGGGCATTCCCATTTTTTCACTATTGTGAAAAATTCAGAGTAAACATTTTTCAGAGATTGTTTTGTGCACATGTGTAAATACTTCTATAGATATGAAGTCAAAAGGCATGGGTGTCTAAAAAATTTGGTGGTGGTTGTCAGTTGCCATCAAGTTGGTTCCAACTCAGAGTGACCCTATGCACCATAAAACGAAATACTGCCGGTTTTGCATCATCCTTCCAATCATTCCTGTTTGAGCCCATTGTTGCAACCACTATGTCAATCCACTTCCTTGAGGATCTTCCCCATTTTGGGTGACCCTTTACTTTATCAAGCATGATGTCATTCTCCAGGAACTTGTTCCTCCTGATAACATGTCTAAGTACATGACACAAAGTCTCGCCATCCTTACTTCTAAGGTGCATTCTGACTGTACTTCTTCCAAGACAGATTTGTTTATTCTTCCGGCAGTCCATGGTACTTCCAATATTCTTTGTCGACACAATAATTCAAATGCATTAATTTTTCTTCGGTCGTCCTTACTCATTGTACTGCTTTTGAATACTTGTGAGGTGACTGAAAATACCATGGCTTGGGTCAGGGACACCTTAGTCCTCAAAGGGACATCTTTGATCTCTTAACATTTTAGAGATCTTTTGCAAAAGATTTTTCCAATGCAATATGTTGTTCGATTTCTTCATTTCTGCTTCCATGGGTATTGATTATGGATCTAAATAAAATGAAATCCTTCACAACTTCATTCTCTTTTTCTGTTTATAAGGATGTTGTTTGTTGATCCGGTTGTGAGGATTTTTGTTTATTTTACATTGAAGTATAATCCATACTGAAGGTTGTAATCCTTGATCTTCATCAATAAGTATTTCAACCCACAAGAAAAATGAGTCACAACACGGGAAGATATATGCACACTAATATTCATAGCAGCACTATTTACAATAGCAAAAAGATGGAGACAGCCAAAGTGCCCATCAACTGAAGAATGGATAAACAAGCTGTGGTACATACCACAATGGAGTATTACGCTACTTTGAAAAATAACAAGGAAGCTGCATGCCACTTCCTAACATGGATGAACCCTAAGGACATTATGTTGAGTGAAATTAGTCAGTCACAAAAGGAAAAATACTGCATAGGACCACTACTGTAAAAGACTAAGAAAAAGAACCCATACTAATCCACTAAAGTGGATTCTTAGCTGGTTGCTAGGACGTAGGGGTAGGGTTAGGGGCGGGAGGGGAAGGTGGAGCACAGGGCAGGGAATAGATACAGGATAAGCTGGGTGTTGGGGAGAGAGGCAATATACAAGTAGGGAGAGGGGAATGGAAGAACAAAGCAGATGGGAGAACAATTAGGTATGAATGGACTAAATGGGACAGAGGTAAAAAATGATGTAGGCACAGCTTTAGAACAACAGGGCTCTGGGATACAGAGATTGAGACATAGTTGGAATGGGGAAAAGGGGGGAATAATGTTAAGATGCTTGGCTGTCTTTTGAACCTTGGTTTCCTGTGCATTATATTATAAAACACTGGACGGGGAGAGAAAGGAATAGCCAGAAATATTAACATAGAAAGCTTATAAATCCATCGTCTGCCTATAACTGATTGGAATACCTAAAATGGGGCTACAATGTGTCCAGTGAAGGAGGTTTCCTGAGGAGCCTCTGCATTACATAAGACTATAGGTGGAAGCCTGAACCACATCCAGATCTTCAGAGACGGGAAATCTTCCACATAAAAGGATAAGCAGACCAGCCTGGAGCAGCCAGAAAACCAGAAGATACTTCTTGAAAGAAAGACCTACAGGAAAAATACAAAACAATAAGGGCAGTCCGACTATTACCACAAGAATGAGCAAGTTGCTAGCCCAAGAGACATCAAGGCAGGTGGTCAGGTCCTCTAGGAGGACTTCCAAGGCTAAGACGCAATGGAAACACACGCTCAGATTGGCAACCACATACGTCATCCATAAGGGGAAGTGACTGACGAACATCAATGAAGTGGCCAGCTAACCCCTACAATCGTCCAGCAGACTACTGTGAACCCGGGTGGAGACTTGGCCGGCCAGCAGTGAGGCAGGACCTGGGGACTCATGGGCTCAGAGTTAAGGACACAACCACAGAGAACTAGAGTGGAGAGCGAAACGGCCAGCTGATATGAAGAGGGCTGACAGACGAAAGAATACCCACACTTGCAGATGATACCCACTTGACCTGGCTTCAATGACTGGATGAATAGAACTCAACATGAAGAAGAAAGAAGAGGAAAAAGGCGTCATTTGATATAACCTGACCTACACCCATATTTGCAGTAGCACAAAAGAGGAAACAAATCCCTGCTGCAAGAATTATTCCCACCCGCTCCACACAAAGAGTGGACAGGGATGGGCAACTTGGACATTGGCTACCCAAAATGGGGGGAGGGATACAAAGGTAAGAAGTGACTGGCTTACACGCTTTCGAGAGGAAACCTAGATCCAAAGGGCATGGAGGAAGGTAGAGTCTCCAGTGAATAGTATCCAACCTCTCCAGGAAGGGCTGATGAAATGAAATGCAGATAGTTCTCTTGTGATGCAGTAGTGAAGAATTGTTATCAGGACTGATTGTGAGGATTGGAAATTGTAAAGGTGAACATTTTATAGCAAGGAGGGGAATGATTAACTTTCCAATCTAGGAGCGGAGGGCCCTGGAACCATCAATGGAGAAGAGCGGAGAGCAGAACCCCACCCAGAGAAGCAGTGAGGCCTGAGATGGAGGCAGAGAAGATAACGTGAAGAGATGAAGTGGCTGGGGACTTAAGATCCAGAGAGGGAGGGAGGCTGTGTACTTTATTCCGGTGTGTGTGTGTGGGGGGGGTAGGCTTGCAGGGTATAACCTTTGGTTGGGTGATGATGCATGGACGGGATGGTAACTATGGCAATGAAACGATGTATGATAGAATGAATGTAAAACTAATGTTCTCCCATGTAGACTATCACACAATTCACAATAAAACATTTATTAAAAAAAAATAAATAAATAAGTATTTCAAGTCCTCTTCCCTTCCAGCAAGCAACATTGTGTCATTTGCTATTGCAGGCTATTAATGAGTTTTGAGTTGAGTTGCTAATGAGTTTTTTTCTGATCCTGATGCCACATTCTTTTTCACAGCGTTCAGCTTCTTAGACTATTTGCTCATCATATAATTTGAATAACTACGGTGAAAGGATACAACCCTGGCACACACCATTCTTGGTTTTTAAACTATTCAGTGTCCCCTTGTTTTGTTTGAACAACTGCTTCTTGGTCTATGTGCAGGTACCTCATAAGTACAAT